GCGGCCACTGCACTCCAGTCTGGGTGACAGAGTGAAACTCCAACTCAAAAAAAAAAAGGAAAGAAAACACCCCACCACCACCCATCAGAATCTGGAGGGCAGGCGCTTCATAGGCATAGCTCCAAAGTCACCAGTTAATCCCGTCATAACCCCCAACTTCCGTATTTCAAAGCAGCAGCCTCCAAGATGCGTCTCTGGCTTTGAATCTCTGGAGCCTGCTGACCCGCAGGGGACCCGATAAATTTGGTTTTATCCTTTGACACTTCATCTCATGTCAACTTTTTTCTAAGAAAAACGTCCATATTGTGAAATGAGCATTCAGCCATAGGATATTGCCTGAATTAGACACGCAACTGTCCTGGCCTCTGTTTTTTTTTTCCTGGAGCCTGGCCGGGACAAGGTCTTCGGCCCAGGAAGGTTATATGGGGAAGAGATTCCAAGAAACCCCAGTGAGATCCAGGCAGACCCAGTGCGACCAGGAGGGGGCCACACCAGCTCTCAGGTGCATTGCTAAGGGGTTACCCCTGCAAGACATTTAGGGCTCAGGCATCTGAGGACTTACTGGGAAAGGCCACAGAAGGAGCCCTGATGGTCTAACCACAGCCTAGGAAAGGGAAGCTCTGATCCACCAGCCCCTGCCCTGACCAGTCAGGAGTTGCCCAAGGGCGTGAGTTCCCTCGAGCTCAGGCGTGTTACCCCCAGGATGACCACTCAGACCCCTGCTTGCCTCCTAGAGAACCAGGTGGGCTGATGACACCTGTACACAGCCGGCGCCTCAGCAATGACTGTTGCAGAAAGGTGGGACAAAGGGGTGTGATAGGGCTCGGCAGGTGTCCAGGCAGACAGTTTCCAAGAAGGCTCATTGCAGAGGACAAAGCAGCCCCGTGTTGGATCTAATCCGCCATGTTGCCTTCTGGTGAGCCCCAGGAAGGCCTCCGAGATTTCTACATTCTGGTACTCAGCGTAAATCCTGCCCTTGGGTCAAAGCAGCCCGATGATACGTCCTTCCTAAAGCCTGCGTGTCCTTTCCCTACGGTAGACAAACCCTGGTCTTGGGGGTCACGACCTAAGAACCCACCACCACCTCTCCAAGCCTTCCAAGAGGCAGCTGCTGTCCGGAAGTCCCCGCTGAACGTTTCTTTCTGAGAACATAGATGCGTCAGTCTCTTCGTTCAGCCCCATGCTCCCGGGCTGTGGGGGGAGGTCTGTACAGGGCCCACCGCGGAATAATCGTGGAAGCAGCTCTTCATTCCGTACCCCAGCCCCCACTGTCAAGGCGGTGGCCACGGAGGAATCCTTCATCCGTGCAGGTTTGACGCCTGCATGTGGGTCATGCTTCAGAGTCAGGGGCCTCATGTTCAACATAGGAAGGATGCCTGACCCTAGACCCAAAATAAATAAGAAGACTGGCCAGGCGCGGTGGCCCAAGCCTGTAATCCCAGCACTTTAGGAGGCTGGAGAGGGAGGATTGCTTGAGTCCAGGAGTTTGAGATTAGTCTGGCAACATAGCGAGACCCTGTTTCTACAAAAAAATTAAAAAATTAGCTGGGCATGGTGGCGCATCCCTGTAGCCCCAGCAACCTGGGAGGCTGAGGTGGAAGGATTGCCTGAGCACAGGAGGTGGAGGCTGCAGTGAGCCATAATCATGCCACTGTCTTTCAGCCTGGGCGACAGAATGAGACCCCAACTTGGAAAAAAGAGAGAGAGAGAGAGAAGGCTAAGATCACGCCCTCAACATATAATTGGATTCAAAAATGTAGATCATAAAATATAAACCAAATACGCACCAGCCAGTCACAGTCCCAGCATCAGCAAGGGAGCATCCACGTAAGGACGAGGTGAAGATGTCCCCATCTGGAGTCAGATCATTCGGCTTTCTAGACCTTGGCAACTAAAACTCTGTCTTTCAAGGACCCTGCATGTGGCATAAGAGAGATTTTTCTAGTCCAATCTCTCAGTGCTACCCCGAAGGCTACGTGGACTCCAACGACCCACAAATGATAAGGCTGGTGCCCCAAGTTGGAATCTCTTCTGCCTCTCGGCTGGTTCACAAGGTGACTTTTAACCACCCCCCCCCCCGGCAGAGACGCTGCTGGGACACACGTGACGCCAGAGGAGAGGTGTCCACAGCCATCCCGGCTGGTGAGGAGCCCCCGGAAGAGATAGGACAACCCTGGAGAGGGCATCCTACCTCTAAACCACCAAGCAGAGCAAGTCCAGGAGAAAGGCATGAGCAGGTTCTTCAGTGGGCTGGGCCTCGGGAAAAATGAGTCAAAGAACCTGCATGTCACAGTGACATTTGGGGACCCAAATTAAGGCCAGCGCGGTGGCTCACATTGTAATCCCAGCGCTTTGGGAGACTGAGGCAGGAGGATCACTTGAGCACAGGGGCTCGAGACCAGCCTGGATAACATAGCAAGAACTCATTTCTACAACAACAAAAAAATTTTAATAAAAAAATTAGGCAGGCATGGTGGCACATGCCTGTCATCCCAGCTACTCGGGAGGCTGAGGCAAAAGGATCACCTGAGCCCAGGAGGTCGAGGCTGCAGTGAGCCATGATTGTGCCACTGCACTCCTACTTGGGAGGACAGAGTGAGACCCTGACTCAAAACAAACCAACAAAACCCAGTGACATTAGGACACTCAAATTAGCCACTACCACATGCAAGTCCCTGAAGCGGCAGGCACGCATGCACTTGTTCCCGCTGTGCTCAGGAACCTCGAGAGAACAGAGTTAGAGAACCCTGGGAACCTTCCACGTGTCCAGTGGAGAACCTCACCCTGATGACACTGCCGGTGAGGAGGGAGCCACTTTGAGATAAGTTTCGTGGCTCGCGAGACGTGGGAAGAAAGGCTGACCCTGAGATACGAGGCTTTAAGGCCTCGGGCCAAACCCAGGCGGGGATCGTGAAGGCAGCAGTGGGGACAGGCGACAGGCTCACCCTGCAGACTTGGGGTGGCCCACAGGACTCTCTGTGCACCGTGTGTATGTGTAGAAAGCACAGAGGCTGAAACGGTGGTTTTCCCTTCAGCCACTTTCCCGGGAAGAGGCCGTCCACTTATTAACCAAGAAAACAGCTGACATTGTAAGGCCCGGGCCAAGGTGACTTGGGAAATGAGTGAGCCCTAAGGTCACAGGCAGAGAGCTCGGTGCAGGAGTCCTGTGCTCTGGGCGATAATGTTGTTTGTTGTAGGTAGGCAGGTGAACAGTTTCTTTTTTCTTGTTTGTTTGGTTTTGAGTAGGAATCCGGCCCTGTCACCCAGGTGGGAGTACAGTGGCACGATCACGGCTCACTGCAGCCTCGACCTCTTGGGCTCAGGCGACCCTTCCGCCTCAGCCTTCCCAGTAGCTGGGACGACAGGTGCACACCATGACGCCCAACCAATATTTTTATTTTTATTTTTTTGTAGAGATGAGGTCTCACTATGTTGCCCGGAGCTGGTCTCAAACTCCTGGGCTCAAGCAGTCCTCCCTCCTCAGCCTCCTAAAGTGCTGGGATTACAGGTGTGAGTCCCTGCGGCCAGCCAGTGAACAGTTCTGACATCACTAAACGTAGCTACAGCAGAATCGTTAATAAGATGGGTGGTGGGGTCAGGTTTCTTGTTTCTTTTATTTATTTATTTTTAAATTTTATTTATCTTTTTGGAGTGTTGGAGTCTCACTCCGTCACCCAGGCTGGAGTGCAGTGGCACACTCATGGCGACCACAGCCTCAACCTGCTGGGCTCCAGCAAACCTTCCACCTCAGCCTTCCAAGTAGCTGGAACTACAGGTGCATGCTACCACACCGGCTAATTTTTTATTTTTATTTGTTGTAGAGACAATGCCTCGCCAAATTGCCCAGGCTGGTCTCAAACCCCTGGATTCAGGCAGTCCTCTTATCACTGCCTCCCAAAGTGCTGGGATGATAAGCTTGAGGCTCCACACCCGGTCATGAAGCTGACTTTTCTTCGACGTTCCTGAGAAGGGGGAAGATTTGCTTTCCGCTCTTCTCCCATTCAGCTACCTCACAGGGACGTCTCAACTGGGGGCTGCCGGTGGAAGAAGTCGGCTATCTATCTGATTCTTTGCAAAGTGTTCTCCCAGGCCCTTGGCCTGCCGCCTGCCACTCTGAGAGGAAGGCACAGTTTTCCCCTGAGATGGCAAATCCTCTTGGAAGATGACATAACTGGTTCCACCAGCAAACATTTGAGCCCAGCCTCGACGTGCTTGCATGAACTGCTCTGGCAGCCTGAGAACAGCTACCAGGCACTGAGCGCCAACTGCGTGCCAGGCACCCCGAGGTCCTGCACTGCACGTCAGCTCTGAGGTCTATAAACCTGAGGTCTGGAGTCACGTTCACACAAGCAGGAGTCCTGACCCAGGGAGGGAGGAGGACACTTTATTTTGCACAAGCTGCTT